ATCTGCATCTCTTGAATGACCAGTGATGTTGAACATTTTTTTATCTTTTTATTTGCTGGTTTTACTTCTTTGTCTGAGAAATGTCTGTTCATTTCAGATGCCCATTTTTGCATTGGGTCTTTGAATTTGGGGGGTCTGATTTTTTTGAATTCTTTATATATTCTAGATAGTAGTCCTTTATCTGAGGTTCAGATGCTAAAATTTTTTTCCCAGATTGTAGGGTTGTCTCTTAGCTCTGTTGGTTTCTCTTGGAGTGCAGATGCTTTTTAATAAGATAAAATCCCAGTGGTTGATTCTTTGTGCTAGTTCCCATGCTACTGCAGTTTTGTTCATAAAATCATTTCCTATGCCAATGTCTTTAAGAGTTCTACCTAACTTATCTTCCAGCAAGTTTAGTGTTTCTGTTTTAATATTTATATCTTTAATCTACTTCGATCTTAGTTTAGTGCATGGTGATAGGTATGGGTCTAGTTTTAATATTTGGCAGGTTGAAATCCAGTTTTTCCAACATCATTTATTAACTAGGCTATCTTTCCTCCAACGAGGGTGGTTGGCTCCTTTGTCAAAGACGAGGTGGTATCATCATATATCTTTTTAATTGACACACTGTGGTTATACATATTTATGGGGTACGGATTTCAATACATATGTTCAGTGTGTAAGGATCAGATCGTGGTAATTATCTGTCCCCTCAGACATTTTTGTTTTTTTGTGTTGGGAAATACAAAATACTCTCTGCAAGCAGTTTTGAACTTTTTTCAACGAATGGTTATTAACCGAGGTTACCCTCTCATGCTGTAGTGCATTCTACCCTATTCCTCCTGTCCACCTGCACCTCTGTCCCCCGTTCCCCTCTCAGACTCTGGTTTAACTAACCAATTAATGCCTTTCAGTTCTGTTCATCCATAGTACTGATCTTTAATATTTTTGGTTATTTATTTTTGAGACAGAGTTTCACTGTGTTGCCCAAGCTGGCTTCCAACTCTTGGGCTTAAGCAATCCTTCTGCCTCAGCTGTCTGTGGAGCTGGGACTACATAGTATGCTACTATGCCCTGTGTGTTGCTTTTATTTTAATCAGACTTTGACCTGTGTGTGGTTTAAAGAGTTATTTGGTTCTAGAAAGGTTGTTACAAGGTCTGAGGATACCCTAGCCCCACCTCCAGGGTAACCAATTCCAGCCGTTGATTGATAGGCTTTTTCCGCTTCTCTTGCTTATATTCCTTTTTTTGGTGGAACTGGGGATCAAACTCAGAACCTTGCACTTTTCCAGCCAGGCATGGTGCCACTGAACTAAATCCCCAGCCCCTGCTTGTACTGCTTTTTATTCCCCCTCCAGTTGTAGGCATAATCCATGAACTTCTTGCTTTGGAAGATGAAGGTGTAAAGAACTCTCCACAAGGCCCGCCCCATATCCTATGTCTGCATCCTTCCAGTAGAGTGCGATGGTGATGTGGACTCAGTCAGAATTCAGTCTCTTGCGGCCTTATTCTCAGACTATCTCCTGACTTTGGTCACTTCTCTTGGGGCTGGATGCTGGCAATTGGTCTGCTCCTCCCCTCCTCGTTCTCTTTGTATCTACCTCATCCTCAGTGCAGCAGTCAGAGGTACCCTGTTCAGAGACCTGATGGGTCCAAGACTCCCTGTGCTTCCACCTCACCCACTCCCCTGGTTCTGCTCTCTCATCCTGTGCTCCTGCTCCTTTTCTCCATTGCAAATGCTGTCTTTGCCTTCTTTCCATACCCGCCCCTGGGCTGCCTCGGGCTGAGGTGGCCCACTCCCCGTTGCTATGACAGAGTCCCTTAGGCAGATACTTTATCAGGAAAAGAGGCTGATGCAGCTCATAGTTTTGCCTGTCTAGGCAGGACACCAACATCTGCCCTGTCCTTATGCGAGTTCCCTTGGGTCCCTTGGCTACATTGTGACCTAGCAAGTGGTATCATGGCTGGAATGCTGGTGAGCTGGACAGAGGGCTGTAGTGACACAGGCGGAGCTGGGAAAGGAGCTGTGCTCCAGCACGTCAAGTCTTTGTCTCTGGAACTTTCTGGGGCCTTTACCAGGGCAGCGCCCCCATCACCCAGTCCCCTCCCCTTTGGGCCCACCCCTTAGGGCCAAGCTTCTGCCCCATGAGCCCATGGAATGCTCAGGCTGCGACCATAGCGCACAGGGCCTTGGTGCTTGCTCTCTGTCCGCAGAGTGTGTGTGCCAGGCCTCTGGGCTTCAGCACATGCACTGTGGTCACCTGGCCAGGCCACTGCCACCTCCTTGCTGGGGCCGTACTCCCCCATACCCCGCAGCTCTGCCCTGCTTCTTTAATTTTAATTTTTATTAGCACACGTTCGCAGTACATGATCACATTCCTCATGGAGAATTGGTGCCTGTACAGAATACATCTTGGTCCTTTTTAGTTTGCATTCCCTTGCCCCTCCCTCCATCTCTTGGTCCCCTTCCCTTGTGAAACTTCTATCTCCATATTTCCTATGATCTCTCTTTTATTTTGCTCTTTATTTATTCATGTTCTCATAAAAAATATGCAATATTTAAGCTTGTGTGTATGATTTACTTCACTTAACATTATGGTCTCAAGGTGCATCCATTTTCCTACAAATGACTCAAGTGGCTCCTTCTTAATGGCAGAGTAATACTCCATTGTGTGAATACCACATTCTCTTTATCCATTCATCTGTTTTTGGGGCCGGGGGTTGGTACTGGGGATTGAACTCGGGTCCTTGGGCTTGTGAGGCAGGCGGTGGAACCACTGAGCTAAATCCCCGGCCCTATCCATTCATCTGTTGATGGATATCTAGGCCTCTTCCAAGATTTAGTTATTGTGAATTGTGCTGCTGTAAACATGGGTATGCAAGTAATCACTGTAGTATGATGACTTTCTAACTCTTTCAATCAATTCTGATGCTCCAGCTTGTTTTTTCCTTCTTACTACTATCTAGCATACTTCTTCTGTTTTTTTCTGGTACTGGGGATCGAACTCAGGACCTCGTGCTTGCCAGGCAGGTGCTGTGCTGCTAGGCTAAATCCCTGGCCCCTGCATATTTATTCTTTATATTTATCAATATTTCTGATATATTAAAATTATTAATAGAATAAATTATCAATAATATTGAACAGATCATATATTAATATTTTAAAATATTTAAATATAACAGGTTAAAGCATTATGAATATAATAAAAGTTAGGTATGGTGACGTACACCTGTAATCCCATGTACTTGGGAGGCTGAAGCAGGAGGATCACAAGTTTGAATACAGCCTGAGTAACTTGGTGAGACACTTGTCTCAAAATAAAAAGCAGTAAAGGGCTGGTAATGTAGTTCAGTGCAGACCCCATGGGTTTAATCCCTAGACAGAGTCTTGCTATGTAGTTTAGGCTGTCCTGAACTCACTATGTAGCCTGGTCTGGCTTTGAACTGATGATAATCCTCCTGCCTCAGCCTCCTGAATGCTGGGATTACAGGTGTGCATCACCACGCCCAGCTTTTCCTCTACTTTGGAAGGATTTCTTCTTTATCTTCTAGCCCTTATGTTGTATTTTTAATTTTCATATTTTTATTTTCTTTCAGAATGCCAATCCCTTTTCTAAAAAGATTGTGTTCTAGGCCTGGGGCATAGTGTAGTGGCAGAGCACATGCCCAGTGTGTGCCAGGTTCAATCTTCAGCTCCTTGAATAAAAAAGTCTTGTATTCTTCCGAAATGGTTTTATGGCTCTCTACCTGTTTCGCATTGTTCTGAGGTGGTGGTGTCTGTGGAGTTTGTTCCTCTTGTCAGGCTGCTCTTGTCCTCTCTCTGCTCTGTGTTTCCCTCTTTACAGAGAGGAGCCTTTGCCTCCCATGCTCCCTGCGTGTGCAGGGACACCAGGAGCTCCAGAACCAGGGCTTGCTTTTCCTGGAGCCTCTCAGCTGAAGCATCAACAGGAAATCTGCAGAGGAGCTGAGCTCCCTGTTGTGGCCTGCACTTTAACCCTCCACCTGTGCCTAGGGCCTGGGGAAATGGCAGTCACTGCCATAGCCCCACTTTCAGGGACTGCCTAGGCAGTGATGATGAAACTTTTCGAGGCAGTGTGTACTGCAACCCAAAATCCACTTATTCATCGCAGAGTGTCAACACTGCAATTAAACGTGAATATCTGATACTCAGCTCTTGGGCTGATTGGCTTGCACACTAACAGAACGGGCTCTGCATGCCCCCTGTGGCACACATGCCATAGATTTGCCACTATTGGCCTAGGGCCTCTGAGCTTGTCTCCTCTAGACCTGGAGAACTGGATAAGGAGGTACCAGAGGGCTGGTGGAGCACTTGCCTGGCACGTAAGGTACAGTCCCTCGCGTGCTGGCACCAGTGGAGGAGGGTGAAGAGGAGGGTGGCCTGCAGCTCTGTGTGGACCATAGACTGATGCATTTGCAAAGAGTCTGGCCTCCTGCCCAGGCCCACCCTCCACAGGGTTGCTTTAAAGGAAGCCGGGCAGCTTCTCCCCACAGCCATGTCAGCGAGGGCACCAGTGGGCATTGGTTAAATGAAGACACTAAGCCCCTTGCTTTGGCTAGTTTGGGTCACCTGATGGATGGAAGTGGCCTTGTACTTAAAGGCTCCCGAGGAGGACTCTGTCATCACCCCAAGATGCCTGCTGGCCTAGCGCAGGCTCTGGGCTGTGTAGTCACTGGGAAACCCCCCTGCTGTTGGGGCCCAATGCCCCTTGAGGGCAGGGACCCAGATGTTCTTGATTGCAGCACCCCTGGAGACAGCTGTTACTACAGTTGTGTGGGCACACTGGGGACTGGGCCAGGTCACAATGTATCCTTTGCTTGTCCCCTTTTCCTGGGGAACCCTAAAGCTCTGAGACAGGGCTCCCCACCTTCCCTTCACTTCCTTCTTTTTTCCCCAAGGTCTGGCCCAGAAGCCAGGTCCTTGTGTGCCACCTACTAGGCCAATGGAGCTGGTGCTCTGTGTGGTGTGTCCACTGGGTTCAGCGGAGGCCCTGTTTCTTTAGCTGCAGATCTGGGACACTGCTGGCCAGGAGCGGTTCCGCACCATCACCCAGAGCTACTACCGCAGTGCCAATGGGGCCATCCTTGCTTACGACATCACCAAGAGGAGCACCTTCCTGTCAGTGCCCCATTGGATTGAGGACGTGAGGAAGTATGCAGGCTCCAACATTGTGCAGCTGCTGATCGGTGAGCAGGGGCTGGGCAGGGTTGGGAGGGCCCTCGGGGACACAGTTACTGTTGCCCCGTCTCGGCCCCCTCTTCTTTTCTTTTCTTCTTTTTTTTTTTTTTTGTGATAAGCTCTTGCTATGTAGTTTACACTGGTCATGAACTCACTATATAGCCCAGGGTAGCGTCCTGCCTCAGTTTCCTGAGGGCTGGGTCTTTCTCTTCCAAATGCAGGGCAAGCCTAGAGCAGAGAGGGGTGAGCTTGCCCAGCAGGAATGGAGCAGAGTTTGAATCCTGAGCCTACAGGCTCTGATCCTGCTGTCATTTACAGTGCTGGAGTCATAACAAAGAGGATACAAGGAAGGGTGCTGGCATTCACTCTGTAGCTCGAGCGTGTGTTTATCTGTCCCTGGAGCTGGTAACATGATACCACGGGCTGGTAAGATAGGGAGAAGATTTATTTGGCTCCCAGGTTTGGAGGGCCAAGGCCAAGGGGCTGTGTCTGTTGGTGGCCTCCTTGTGGGGAGTCCCCAGATGGCACAGGTCTCACGTGGCAGGAGACAGGGAATGGACACGTGTGCCGCTTGTGTCTCTGCCTGTTATAAAGCCACCAGGATCAGTCATGGGGGCTCCAACCATGTCCATGTCCATTGTTTTCCACCCTCTCCTCTCCCAGCAGAGATCAAGCTCTAGCCTGAGTTACAGAGGGGACAGAAACATCTTCTGTGTAGCACTGAGTGTCTGACATGGCCAGCACTGTGGCGTCTTCATAGTCACAGGGGATTTGCCTCTCAGCCCTGGCTTCTCCTGTGACAGGAGGCTTGGAAAGTCCCTCAAGCCCGTGAGCTCAGATGAAGTTTAGGGTTGGCTTCTCTGAGCATAGCCCTGCCTGGGCTGCACTGCCCTGGCAGGACCCAGCTTGCCTTCCTGGCCCTCCTGCTTCCTTTATCCAGGCCATTTCTCAAAAACCTGTTACAAAGCACCTCATACAGGCACAAAGAGAGAACGATGTAATGAACCTCGGTCCCTCTCAACCTCCTCCGGCCATTTGCACTTCAAATCCAACTCCTTGTTTCTCTGCCCTCATCCTTCCCTTCGTTTTGAGACCGAACTCACATTCCAAACAATTCCATGTCTGTATGCCAGTGTGAATCTATAAAAAACAGATCAGAAATACATGACAATACTATTTTCATATCTAAAGATATTGACAGTTCTTAGCTAGGTGTAGTGGTATGGACCTGTAGTCCCAGCTACTCAGGAGGCTGAGGCAGGAGGATCACTTGAGCCCAGAGATTTTTGAGGCCAGCCTGGGGCAGTCCTCCTGCCTCAGCCTCCTGAGTAACCAGGATTACAGCTGTGTGCCACCATGCCTGGCTAAGAATTTTAGGTCTTTATAGACTCTTACTCTTTGTTTTTGTCCTTCCTATAACCATGTTAAAATGATAACCAGAGAGGAACCTAAATTCTAGAAAGAGATCAAGCAGTGGAAATATCTTAGAGAAGACCAAGGTGTGCCTATAGGTAGAGTAGCAGCCTGAGCTGTTACTGTCAGAAAAGCAAAATCATCCAAAACTAGTCTTAAAAGAATAAAAGCATTCCAAAGAACAATAGAAGAGAATAAATAATAAGTGTAATAAGTTTTAGCAAAAGCAGAAACAAGGGATTGGGGATTTAGCTCAGTGGGGCTGCCACCTGCCTCACAAGTCGATCCCCGGTACCAAAAAAAAAAAACAAGTCAAGCACCCTCAGATTTATTAAGTAAATGGTAAGTGCATGATAAGTGTGCCCCCCCCCAATTCGTTGTATCATTTAATCTGTGCTCTGCCCTCCTGTGCTGAAGGTGGCAGGATAGGTGTCGGGGAAACTTGAGACCCAGAGACAGATGACCCAGTGTAGGGTCAGAGCAAGTGTGGGCATGGAGCTCCCTGTGCTTCTGATCCCTCTCCTCCTCAGGAGGAAGCAGCAGGCTACGGACAGAGCTCAGCTGCAGAGCGCTTGGCTGTATAGGGGCCTTGGTTCCATCCCCAGCACTCCAAAATAAAGCAAAGAGAAGCAATAACATGCCAGGGTTTTACAAAGCTATGAAAGAGGAAGAAAAAGAGAGAGACTAAAGGATGGAATAAACAGGGTGTGGTGGCACATGTCTGTGTCCCCAGCAATCTGAGAGGCTGAGGCAGGAGTACACCCACAAGTTCAAGGCCAGTCTAGGCTGTATAGTGAGACCTTGTCTTAAAAACAGCAACAACAACAAAAAAGGGCTGGGGATTTAGCTCAGTGCAGAGACCTTGAGTTTAATCCCCAGTACTAGAAAAAAAAAAAAATGAGTAAGATAGCTACTGGGGAGGCTGAGGCAGGAGGATCATAAATATGAGGCCAGCCTGGGCAACTTAGGAAGACCCTATCTCAAAATAAGAAAAGGGCTGGGGTATAGCTCCCTGGTAGAGCTCTCACCTAGCATGCACAGGCCCTGGGTTCCATGCCCAGTGCCAGGGGGAAAAGAAAAGAATAAGAGCTGCAAACTTAGGAAACTCTATTTTGTTTTCTTTGCATGTGTGTGGTTTTATTTTGTTTTTAAGACAAGGTCTCACTATATAATTCAGGCTGGCCTCAGACTCACTATGTAGCTTGTATGTCAACCTCAAACTCTCGGCGATCCTCCTGCCTCAGCCTCCCAAGTGCTGGCTTACAGGCATGCGTCATCACACCCAGCTAGGAAAGTGTTTTACATAAGGCAGTTTGTGTGTTTCTCTGTAGCTGGCAGAGGGAGCTTGTAGCATGGGGGCTTTCAGGGTGGCCCTACTGGGCAGAGCTGGGTTCATCCAGCCCCCATGGGTCTCACCATGCTGCTCCCGGTCTCTCCGTGACAGGGAATAAGTCTGACCTGGCTGAGCTTCGGGAGGTCCAGCTGGCTGAGGCGCAGAGCCTGGCTGAGCACTATGACATCCTGTGCGCCATCGAAACATCTGCCAAGGACTCAAGCAACGTGGAGGAGGCCTTCGTTCGGGTCGCCACTGAGCTCATCATGCGGCATGGGGGCCCCATGTTCAGTGAGAAGAACACCGACCTCATCCAGCTGGACAGCAAGGACATCGGGGAGAGCTGGGGCTGTGGGTGCTGATGCGCAGGGGTGGGCTCCCTCCCTCCCTCAGACTCTGCACCGGAAGGGGATGCTGGGAAGGAGGAGCCAAACTCCCTGCAGTACCTGGGGGGCCAGGGCTGGTTTTCTACACATTCTAGGACTGGTCTGCGCCTGCCAGCTGACCCCAGCGTGGGATGGGTCCCTTGCCTGTGTCACCTTCTCCTTTGCCTAGTGACCTTGACTTTGCAGCTGGTGCCCAGATTCTGCCAGGCCACTGGGGGCTCTGTCTGCAGTCTAGTGAGCAGGAGTAGCTGGACAGTTTCTGAGTGCAGCGGCACAGAGTCCTCTGGCCTGAGTTGGCTTTCTCCCTTGTGTCAGCCACAGCCCCAGTTGCCTCCTGGGCCCAGCCTGTTGCCTTATCAAGACCTCAGTTTACTGGCTCTCTGTGTGGCTTCTTATTTTCATCAACACAAGAGTGGGGATCTTGGCCCATGGCAGCTGGAGATGGCCACAGTGGCTAACCCTTTGGCCTGGAGGGTGGGGATGTGGCAGGAGAGGGACACTGAAGGTAGAAACAGTGGTTTTGAGGCAGCAGCATGTGGTAGAGTGTATGCTTGGCGTCCAAGGCTGGGATGGAGCCTCAGCAACAAACCATACAGCCACCTGTATCCTTCCCTGTAGATGAGGGCCCACGGGACCTGCAGGGCACTCAGCCTCATTCCTGGGTGCACAGATCCTCCTGCCACCATGTCCATGATCACCCGCTGCCCTGGGGCCCGGCAAGCCGTTTCTCAACAACAAAGGCCTCACCTGGTAACCATGGCCTGGACACCTTTATCCACTGGGCACACAATGGCCTCAACCTGTGTTGGGTGCTGAGGTTGGACAGCAGGCAGGCACCCCTAAAAAACAGCGCCATCTTCCCTGGGCCTGGCAGAATGGCTGCTCTCTAAGCCAGGTAGTGCTCAGTGTTTATGTGGTGGCAGCTGTTTCCTGCCCAAGTTGCCCTTGCCATGCTCCAAGCACTGTGGCCACTCCAGCCCCTTCCCCTGCTGAGACCTGGGTACATGGCTGAGCATGGCACCCATGGGAGACAGGGTCCATGTCAGTGAGGAGCTGGGTTCCTGTGGGTGGGAAGAGTGCAAGCATAGGCAGCAGCCGCTGGGCCTCTGGCCTCATTGTGAAGCTGGGGTTGGGGTGGGCCTGGGGCTTCTGCTAGTTCCAGTTGGCCTGTGCTATTGGCAGGAAGTGCCACTGCCAGCCTTCTCCCCTGCTGCACCCGGGCCCCACGACCTCTGCCAAAGCTGAGGTGTCTGGGGTCACCATCAGGACAGATAGAGCCTGGCTTTCTACCTGGGCACAAAGAGTCACTTGGAGGGTGACCCTGCAGAGCCCTGCTCTTCTCAGGGGTGATGGAGCACACATGGGGTCAGGTGAGACCTCAGGGCACAGGGCCATGCTGCACTGTTCCCACTCTCCTCTTCCTCGGGTTGGACGCTGCACCTTTGCTGTGGATCCAGGGCTGCCTGGATCCAGAGAAGGCACAGGACAGAGCTCACTTGTCACTGTAGGCTGTGAGCCACCACCCTTGCAACCACTGTCCACCGCTGGCTGCCTGGGAGCAAGGAGAACAGAGCCAGCTCAGCCGGGACTCCTCCTCCTTGGTGGCCCCTTGGCTGGCTCAGCCACCAGGATGCCATCCCGCTTCTGTGTTTCCACAACCCAACATGTCAGAGTGTGAGTGAGGGCCGCCCCTGCCCCCACCCCATGGACAGGAGCAGCCTTGTGCCAAGTTCAGCCTAGAAGCCCAAATTGCCCTGGATGTCCCCCAGCTTTCCCTCTCAGCCCTGTGCCCCACCCCTCCCCAGTGCCCCCATCGCTCCCCGTCCTCTTATGGCCCATCCCACTGCCCCGTCCCTCCCTGTCCTCCCCTGCCCCAGAACTCCTTTCCCTGTGCTCTCACCTAAGGGCCCAACTGGCCTAGGGCTCCAGTTCTACTGCCCAGACCCCAATCCTGCTCCATGGCACTTCTGAAACCTCACCTGGTCCAGGGCTCTGAGGGATCTCGGTCCACACTCAGCTTCTCCCTAGCAGCTATCCCTGCCCAGCACGATTCCGGTCCCTTCCTGAGCTGTCTCGGCCAACCTGGCCTCCCTGTCCTGACCCTTCTCTCCCCCATCTCCATCCCTCCCTTCCATTCCTGTCACTCAGAATCCTGCCAGTGACCCAGCTGCCCCACCACAGTCTGCGCTCTTGCTCCTGATCTCCGGGGAGAACAAGTCCTTCCCTGCCCTGTGGCCACCAGGTCCCCACAGTCAAGCTGAAGCCATTTCCTACAGAGCAGCCGGCCTCCCCTCCGGCCTCAGTGGCAGTGGCCAGGCCTCGGGCCCCGTGTTGGACCCCTGCCCTACAGTGTCCCATCAGGTGGGGCTCACTGCCCCCTGGGCTTGGGTAAGGAAACAGAAGTGTGTGGGACAGAAAACAAAACCAGCCTGTCTCTCCTGCCAGCCACCTACCAGCTCCCAGCAGCCTGGTCTCAGGCCAGAGGGGACCAGTTTCATCTCTTGTTTCCAAATCACCCAGTGGAGGAGCAGCCGGGCAGGGGCTCCTGTCCCCCCCAGAAGGGGTCGGCCCCAAGGTCACGGCCCCAGCCTTGATTCACATTGAATTCAGCTCCTCTCTTCCCTGGGGATGCCAGCCAGGCCCTCTCAGACCCGAAGGCCTGGACTCAGGGGACGGGGTGGGGACCTCAGCCAGTCCAAGGATGCCATTTGCATCGGGAACTTTTCACGTTACCTATTTATGAATGTATACATCTTTATGTAGCAAATCTATTTTTTAAACACGGAAAATTGCCTTTATGGAAACTTTCAGAGCCAGAGTGTAACAGGCCTCACCCATTAAACAGATTTCTGTCACGAGCCCACGTGCCCAAGACTGGTTCTGTCACCCACCAGACGGTCCCCTTGTGCTGCCCATTGCCAGTCCACCACCTGGAGCTTTGAGAGACCTTCCCCAGCCCAGACCCCGTGGCCCCGTGGGCAAGAATCACTCAGCGCCAGAGGGGCAGGGAAAGTGTGTAGCCTTGGGCAAGTCATGGCCTCTCTCGGAGGCTCCCATACTTGGCATTGTGCTGGGCAGGGCTTCTTGGTGACGCCTCAGCCCGTGAGGCAGGGTCACTCTCGCTTTTTAGGGCAGCAGATGGGCTCAAACCTTGACTTCCTGGGAGCAGAGCTTGACTTCCTGAGCGTAGAGCTTGACTTTCTGGGCACAGAGCTTGATTTCCTGGGCACAGATTGATTTCCTTGCCACAGAGCTTGACTTTCTTGCCCCAGAGACTGACTTCCTGAGCCAAAGCTTGACTTCCTGGGCACAGAGATTGACTTCCTGGGTGCAGAGCCTCTTGGCCAGGAGGAAGCAGAGCTGTCATCCCCAGAGAGGAGCTGAGAGCCGCATGCAGGCCCAGCACAGAGCAGGTCCAGGCTCACAGTGGGTGCTCAGGATTACTCAAGTGCCTGCAGCAGGTGCCGCAACCCAAAGCCATCAAGTCCTCGTCCCTGGGAGGTCATCCCAGTCTATTCCCTGTGGTCGAAGCTCACCGTGCAGACCCCAAAAGTATGGACTCAAAGACATGAAGTATAGCAGAAGCAAAAAGAATGGTGATTCTGCAGAAACAGCTGTCTGTCTGCAGGAGGCAGGCACATCTTATATAAATAAGCAGTTGCTTTTACCCCCTAGCTCACAAAGTCCTTTCCCCTGTCCTCATTATCTGAGGTCAGGGGTGCACAATCTTTTCAACTGCCATCTAAGCTCCCCTTGATTTCTTGGTAAACCCACCCCGTGAGATGGGTTTCTCTGTGCATTGGAGGACTGTTGTTTGCCCATCAATTATCTTATTCCAACATCTGATTCTGAGACTTCCTCAGTGGGGTCATTCTTTGTGGTTAAGTTCAAAATAACTGCCTTAACTATCTGTGCATTGGCCAGTATATTTCCATCCAAAGCCAGAAGAAAAAAGACCATCTATCTCTCTATTTCTTTCATCCCTGCCACTAGAGCAGGTCCTCTGCAGAGAGGTGCTTTTGGGCAGCACAGCCACTAGCCTGTCCTCTCCTGGAAGGAAGGGGCAGCAGGGACCACGCCTGCCCGCCAAGCCCAGCTCAGAGACTGACCTGAAGGGGTCACACCAGGCCCCATCAAGTCCCACATCTGCCCTGAGCAGTGTGACCTTCAGCAGTCATTTCTCCTCTTGGGCCTCAGATTCCTCAAAGGCAGGGTCTTAACTCTGGTCCTGCCTGGGTCTCAGTGGCAGAGCTGAGGTGTAGACCCGGGGTGCAGGCTTCAGCCAGTGCCTCACTCATGAGCTCTGTGAGGGGACCCTGGGATTCTTGGGGAGACCTTGGCTGCAGGGATAGCTACCTGTCCTTAGGTCTGCTGGACACAAGCAACACGAGTACCTGTGAGTCGGCATTTCTGAAACTCGCACCTTGCTGTGGTGTATCTCAGGGTAGAGTGGCTGCAAAAGAAAAACTAAAATCTGGAGGTGAAAATGTTCACAGTGGCGAAGGAAAGAAGGCTTTCAACCCTAACAGGTCCCTCAGGCAGGAGCTTCCTTCCTTTCTTCGTCTTTGCCTCTTTCTCCTCCCCTCCCCTGCCCCGGGCAAGACTATACATATCACCCTGGTTTTGTTGCATCCCTAGCCCTTTCCTTATTTTTATTGATTTATTTTTGGTATCTAGGATTGAGCTCAGGACCTTGCACTTTCCAGGCAGGTGGCAGCACCACTGAGCTAAATCCCTGGCTCCTTATTTTTATTTTTATTTTGAAGACAAGGTCTCGATGTCACTAAGTTGCCCAGGCTTGACTGGAATTTACAGTCCTCCTGCCTCAGCCTCCTGAGTGCTGGGATTACAGGAGTTTAACATCAAATCATGCCCCGTTCCTGCTGCTTTTCTTTAGGGGGTGTCTTTTTTTTTTTTTTTTTTAGTAATAATGAAAGAGATGGCCACCCTCCTTTGGCCCCCACAAAGTGTTGCTAAACTGGCCTCTGGAATCACACTTTGAGGGCTGCTGGCCTGGAGAAGCCCTGTCTGGTGGTGGCAGGACGCCTGGTGGAGAAGGCAGAGCTCTGTGCAGGTGGCAGTGAGCCCTCTAGGTGTTCCTCTGTGCTGGATGCAGTCACTTCAGTTCACAAGTGTGCCCTTGGCCCGTGAGTCTCGGCAGGATCTTAGCTGCAAGTTGAAGTCGGGGCTTAGAGAAAGGAGTGACCCATAGGAGGCTGGTCACGAGAGGTGGTGGGTCCCCACCTGTGCCAGTTCTCTGACCCCTGTAACAGCCCTGTCCCCAATGATTCTGAAGTGACAGAAAGGCTTATGGTGGGGCAGGGTGCCGAGTTGAGTGCTCTCTCCTGGCCACCCAGGACAGTGTCACCAAGCTCAAGCAGAACAAGTACAGAATTCCTCGATTAACGAGCAAGTTCAGTTTCTGTGGCCAGGTCATTAAATGAATCGGTCGCTAAATGAGGAATTGTATACAGTATGCACATTGCAATATTCAGAACAAAGAAATGGTCAAAGGAAACTCCAGCCTGATGACTTTGCTTTCATTTGTATAACTTTTCCACGCAGCACAGTAATGTATAACAGAACATAAAACTATGGTACTGTACTGTGCAGTACAATCAGCAAGAATTACAGGACTGTGCTGTAGAAGAAGCCACCATTAGGCCACACTGCTGCTCGTGTTCCTGTGTCGTGAGCCAGAGCAGGACCTTGGGTTGGATCACCTGGGCTGGATGCCAGGGGCTGGCTTGTGACGTTGTGCACACTAAGCACCGGCCTCTGGTGTGAGCCATGTTGCTGGGCCCTGGTGATGAAGCAGATGGCCGATGTCCTCGTCATCCTGTATGGCACAGTGGCCGTGCTGTCAACGGCCAGCGGCTCCTTCCCAATTGGACTCCGGGACCATGATCTCAAGGTGAGCACTGCTCAGCCCCACCCAGGAAACTGAGGCTCAGAGACCCTGAGTGACCCGGTCAGGTCTGGATCCGGGCGGGAACAGAGCCACGCTGTGACCTCTGAGCCAGTCTGTGTTCCCTTCTACATTAATGAGGCCGGTGGCTGGGAGTGGGAGACCCACCTCTCAGTTTGTCCTGAGGGCTCAGGCTGCCCTGCAGCTGTGTGGCCACATCATGGAATATGTGGCTCAGGGTCTCTGTGTGACAGCTCTGCTGCCAGAGTCAGAGTGCAGAGGGCTACTGGGGGCCTCGCCTATGATTCCTGTGGTCCCAGGGGTGGTCCAGGCACTGGCATGGCGGGTGGGACTGTGACCTGCTGTGGGGGTGACCAGATGGCTTCTCCTCTTGTGGATCATTTGCTGAGCAGGGCCTTTCCCCAGCCCCACCACGAGACCTGGAGCTCAGAGGAGAGGAGGAATCTTTGTCACCACTGGCCACCCAGAATCACTCCCCAGGGGCTTGCAGTGGGGGTGACTTTGTTAAAAGTGCCCCTAGTGTCCTCACAGTGGCACAGGAAGAGCCCTACTCTCTCTCTGCCTTCTCAGATGATCCTGGAGACCTGGATGAGCAGGTTAAGGAAGTGTCTTGGCGAATCCCGGAGAAGCGGACCTATGTCTGTGCCCATCCCCTGGACAGGACGTCCTGAGGCAGGGCCAGCCCCAGGCCACGCAGCACCAACCTCACCCCGACAGCCTCTGGTGAACTGTTACCCCGTGGGGATCAAAGGGCTTTCTGCCGCCTGGTCTCCCAGTGCTGATGCCCATCCTTAGTGGCTGTACTGGGTCCCAGACCCCTCTGGGGAAGAAGCTGCAAGGCCCTCTCCAAGGCATGGGCAGCCATGTCACCAGATCCACGTACAAGAAACAGTGTGTAAGCTGCATGTGATCACTCTGTGAAACCAGAACTAGGACACTTGCAGCGTGTGTCAGGAACCACTGACATGAAAAGTTAAATGGCACAATTTGTCCCCTCTTCTAGCCTTGTGGTACTAGTTACATTAGTCCTTAGAATTAGCCTTCAGCAGCCTGGCCTGATGCCGTACACCTGTGATCCCAGAACTCTGGGAGGCTGAAGCAGGAGGATCACTTAGGATGCTAAATTCAAGATCACCCTGGGAAATTTAGCCACTTAGCAAAACACTGGCTCAAAATAAGAAAGGGCTGGGGATTGTTACTGTCTGGCTGATGGGTTCTTCTCTCAGTCCAAGAAGAATTACAAGGTAGGGGCTCAAAACAGGACTAAGCAAAAGTATTTATGGTAGAGTGAAAACAGGAAGCAGCATTTATTGTAAAGTGGAAGCTGAACACTCCCAGACAAATGAACCTGGGATGTGCCTCAAAAAGAATTGTCAAGGGGACTCTGTTTAGAGATTTTATATGTAAAAATGGCTACATCTCAGCCAAGTTGAGGTCCACCTAAGGAGTTAAAATCAGGAAAGTCTGACATAGAGGTGGATCTGTAGGAGCTTGTCATTGGCATCGAGGTCTTCCTGCCTCAGCTTCCCGAGTGCTGGGACTACAGATGTGCACCACCACACTTGGCTCTCTGCTGGAGTTTTGTTAAGTAATCTTACAGAGGAGAGAATTTACGAATACTGCCTTTGGGAATAATTCTAGTGAGACCCAGAGTTCTCACTCTGTCAGCTCATACTTAGGGTATGCAGAGAGGATTCTGAACAGGGCAGTGAACTAGCCTCCCTGGACAGTGTCAGGACGGGGCTGTGGGGACTTCCTTTGCTCTGGGGAAGCTTGGCACAGGGCCCCTGGGCCCACGGCATTCCTGGCAGCCCTCTGGAATGGGACTTCACTGCACACGTGCACCGAGGAGCTGTGCAGCTGTGTGCTTGGACCCTAGCTCACGGGGTCTGGATTGGGCTGCGCAGTCCAGCCCAGCAGTGTGTCTCA